CTAAGAAGAGAAGGGACTTGCCCCAAGTTCCAAGGACACTAGAGCAAAGCCCAAATGTGCTCATGCCCTCCTAACACCTTTACCAAGCACAGGACTAGGCACTGGGGCCATGAGGACAAGACACATGTCCTTACCTGGCGAACATTACAGACAGATGATAGTGTATGGGGGAGCAGGGGAGGGGGGCGGAGAGGCAGCGGCCCCAGCAGTAGCAGTGGCTGCCGCAGCCTCATAATAATGTGACTAATATTTGTGGAGCTGGCGTTGACCACGCCCCAGCCCCAGGCTGGACGTGATTTTCAACTTTTTACTTTAGCAGCTGAATCCTTTCTTCAAGAGAAACCTTATGTGGAACCCTCCATAAATCAGACAGTACGAGGGGTGAGCCCTGTTGCTTAGCCTCTCCTATTTAACCCCATGCAGGGGCTCTGGAAGAGCTTTCTCAGAGCCTGAGCTCTCCCCTGAGCACAGTTTAAAGACCACCCAGGGGGATAGGTTACAAGCAGAATTTCCGGGTCCATTTATGCTTATTTTACAGATGAGCAAACAGAGGCCCAGAGGAGGGGAGGGATTCAGTGAGGGTCACCCAGGGAGTTACCACCACAAGTGGCACACCAGCCAAAGTCCTCTGAATCTCAGGTCTGTGTCCATCTGTGACACCTCTTTTACTAGGAAACAGGGGCCTTTTACTAACAGCTATAAAATACCATCTCTTCCAAACCATCTTTTTTTCTTCTTCTTCTTTTGGCCATGCCGTGCAGCTTCTGGGATCTTAGTTCTCCGACCAGGGATTGAACCCAGGCCCTTGGCAGAGAGAGCGTGGAGTCCTAACCACTGGACTGCCAGGGAGTTCCCCCAAGCCATCTTTTAAAGCCGAGCTTGCAGTGGGCTCTGTTAACGTGGTATTTTCACCTCCCTCCTGCCCTGTCTGTCCCCACCTCCAGTTCTTCCACATCACTGACCACAGGAGAAGAATCTCACCTTAGAGAAACTGTCCCTGGGAGCCAAGTAGATGAGTGTGGCTTGAAGCTGACAGCTTCATAGTTTACCTTAGGAGTTCTCTGTTCCTCTCAGCTTATTTAATGTGATGCCTCATCACTCTGTAATATTCACAGGACACTTGACATTAGAAAGGGCCTTTTAAATCCTTTGAAATAGGAGTTTTAAATTCATCGGCACCGTGGAGTGTGTAAGCGGAGCATTAACTTTCCTGTGTGCACAAAGATGGAGACTTCTTCAGGAAATGTAATGATTGCATCCCTCGGGGTGGCATCTCTGGAGGTAGCCTGCTACCCAGCCCCATCCCTCCTCCAGCAGGCCCCATAGTTGCCACCTACCCCTCTCTTCTTGCTCATTCCCAGCTCCTTTTTTCCCGGGTGGCTTTGACATGTATTCCTCTCTCCCGTGTTCCCTTGTACTGGCTCGTCCCTTCTCCAGGGTCTGTCCATGACTCTTTCTAAGGGTTTTAGTGCAAACGATCTAAGAAAAATGAGTCAACCGGCCAAGGTAACAAGCATGGGAAGGTCCTAGGGTTCCAAACCTTTCCCAGCTGGTTCTGTCCCCCAGCCCCTTCTTGTGTGAGTCTGAATGGCTCCCCATATGACCCAGAGGTGAATCTAAGGCTGTGTTTTCCAAACGTTGTTCCATGAGATTCCAGTTCCAGGAGCAGTTTCTCAGAGACATGTGTTCATGGTCCAAAGGACAGGGAAGTTCTGCTTGTACCCTCCCTGTCTTGGCGACTGACATCCGTTGTGGGAAAGCAGACCAAGAGTTTTGAGAAGTCAGGCAGAGTAGAGAGCCCTGTGCAACTTGGTACAACCCAAGACCTGTTTGAGCACCAGAAGCGTGTTTTGCAGCCCATCTGAGAGATGCTAATTCGGAGGTGTGTCTGTGAGTTGATTCTGGAAGCCTCTGAGCCCTTCACTAGGGTCCTCTTGGCCCTGGGATGGAGACCACAGGGCCTCTCCCAGCTCCACTCAGGAAAATCCAAATTAGGTTATTCTCTGAGAGCCATCAGGAAGGGGTTTTTTTCCACCTATACCAGAGCATTGTCAGCTGCTTGTGCTTTCTTTGGAAGTAAATAGAAATGAATCAAGCCGGGTCGGGGGGGCCACTTATGGTCTGAACATTGCATTCTTGGGGTCTGGTCAAAGGAAGACGTCAGACCAAGCTGAGCCATTCTTAGAGAAAAGGATGGCACTGGCCTTTTCTGTATTTGGGAAGCAAGTCCTTTCTTATCAAGCCAGCTGTCACACACTCGGATTTCTCCTACAAAGAGGCCCACACATGCACAAACTTATATTAATAACACGTATCTCTGCTCTCTTTCTGAAATGGAGGCTTTTTCTGGTAGCCTAGTCAACTTTGGTTTTTGTTTATTTTTAATTACTTTGTTTCAAATGAACAATTAATCCCAGCTTTTTGATTGATAAGTTGGTTATCTTTTCCTAGGTTTTGTTTCTCTCTACTCCGGGAAATTCCATGAGTCATTTCACAGATGAGCCCCGGGTTTTGTTTGTCTTTGTTTCCATTGGGGTCTAAAACCACAAAATGCTGTGAGGAAGGTGATACTGATTGTATTAGTTTGCTACAGCTGCCTTGACAAAGTACCACACACTGAGTGGCTTAAACAGCAGAAATTTTTTTTTTTTTTTTTGCTGTACGCGGGCCTCTCACTGTTGTGGCCTCTCCCGTTGCGGAGCAAAGGCTCCAGACGCGCAGGCTCAGCGGCCATGGCTAACGGGCCCAGCCGCTCCGCGGCATGCGGGATCCTCCCGGACCGGGGCACGAACCCGCGTCCCCTGCATCGGCAGGCGGACTCTCAACCAGTGCACCACCAGGGAAGCCCCAAACAGCAGAGATTTTTGTCTCAAAGTTCTGGAGGCTAGATGTCCAAGATCCAGGTATCGGTAGGGTTGGTTCCTTCCAAGGGCTGTGAGGGTCTGTTCCAGGCCTCTACTCCAGCTCCCGGTGGTTTGCTGGTAATCTTTGGTATTCCTTGGTTTGCAGAAGCATCACCCCCATCTCTACCTTCATCTTCACGTGGTGTTCTTCCTGTGTGCCTGTGTAAATTTCCCTTCTTTATAAGGACATCAGTCTTATTGGATTAGGGACCCCTTCTCTGGCATGACCTCATCTAAACTTCACTAATTACATCTGCAACACCCCTCTTTCCAAGTAACTGTCACATTCTTACTTGGAATGTGGTTCTAGGTTACTGAGATACAGGGGGTTAGAACTTCAACATATGAATTTGGAGGGGACACAGTTCCACCCATAACATCAACTCTATACATAATAACACATTTCATTCTGCAGCATTTACAAAAGCTCAGGGCTGCTGCCTCACCCTTTAGCCTGTCAGCCTCAGAAACAAAAGCTGAGAGCTCAGCTCACATAGGCTGCAGGACAGCTGGGAACTGGCTTAGACACAGAGATGCTAGCAGCTCCTGCAGCAATCTGACACTGTCCATTTTCCAAGAGAAGAGCCCAGAATGTCCTCAAGGTGGTCTGATTGGACCACCAATGGCAGGTGAGAACTGGAATTGGGTTCATTTCAGTGAAAGACTTCCTGCTGTGTGCACAGCCCTGAGTCGGGCCCTCCAGAGAATGGGGTGGAGCAAACCCAGGCCCTACCCATGAGGAAGCCGCAGGAGGCAGACGTGTGAGCTGCGTGCAGAGGTGTGGGTGCAGTGCCGTGGCCGTGATGAACTTGGCTCAGAGAGGGGACACTGAGGCTTCACAGAGGAGGTGATGTGTGAGCTGGGCTTGTCATGTTATCAGACAGTTCCAGCCAAGCTGGGGGACAGAAGGGCTTAGGGCCCCATTGTGTCTCCCGGGTTAGGTGACAGGCAGTGTGGTGTAGTGGGGAGCACTGGGGTCCAGTGACAGGGGTTCTGAGTCAAGCCCTAGGTCATCCCTCAGTTTCTTTGTTGATAAAAAGCTGTTAGTTAAAAGATTCAATATACAGGGTGTGGCATCAGGATTGAATGAGTTCTCAGGTGTGAAAGTGTCATGGTTATGGAAGTAGCAGAGACAGGATACAAACAGGTGTTAGGTGTCATCTGTGCCACAGAGAATACGCAGTAGCCTCTCGCAAGGAGAGCAGCTGGGAAGTGGCAGACCTGGACTCCCACCCCCTCGATCAATCACTTCCTCCCTCTGAGCCAGCTCCCTGGGGGGTCAAGTGAGACGTCTGGACCAGGCAATCTCCTTCTGGCCATGAAGTTAGGTGACTCTATGAAAAGGTGCCTGATACAATGGCTAGAGCCACGTGGGCTTGGAAAGCCAGCAGACTGGGGTTCAAATGGTGGTCCTGTCCCCTCTTGGTAGTATGATTTGTGTGAGTCACTCAGCCTCTCTAAGCTCAGTGTCCTCATCTGCAAGACGGGAATAAATGCCCACCTCAGAGGTTAAATTAGAATGTCCTTGGGAATGACTTAACGCACAGCTTGGCCTATGGTAGTAAAAGTTAGCTATTACCGTCAGCTGCTTCTTGTGAGGATTGAATGAGATGTTGTAGGGGAAGGGCCTGCATGCAGTAGGTGCTTAATTAACCATTGACACTTCCCCCGCTTTTAAGATCAGCCTTGGCAGAATTTCCAGCGTTCATGTTTTCCATCAGGGCGTGGGGTGAAGGGTGGAGGGTTGTACAGAAAATTTTCGAACTATTTGAAGAATAAAATAGTTTTCAGGCACTCGTAAGCCATTTATAATCACCTATTACTTGTAACTAATGGCCATGCCAATTACAACAATTACAAGTCGTTAAATTGCAAGCCCTCAGGACTTTTACCTTGCAAGGTTTATGAGAGAATTAGTCCAACTTAATACAGGATTCCAGTATAGTAATTATTATCCTGACAATTCATAAAACATGCCCAGGGCTCCATGTGAGTGATAAGCATCTATTTGCTCTGAGAGCAAATCCAAGAAGGGTCTTTCTAAGAGTTTTCTCTTTCTGGTGTAGGTCACAGATGGGAACAGAAGGTTCTTCTACGATGTCGTACAGACGAGAACTGGAGAAATACCGTGACCTGGATGAAGATGAAATCCTTGGAGCCCTTACAGAAGAAGAGCTGAGGACCCTGGAAAATGAGCTGGATGAGCTGGACCCTGATGTGAGTAGGCGCTAAAGGGGACACGTTGTCACAGTTGCAAGGACAGCAGCCATCACCACCTAGGGGGGAGGGGTAGGCCAACTTCCCGAAATACCATTTCCCCTTTCCCTCTATGACAATAACATTGGAGTAACATTGCCTTTACAGGTGTGTGTGTGAGTGTGTGTTATATTAGTCAGGGTTCTCTAGAGAAACAGAACCATTAGGAGATAGGAGATTTTATATATATATATATATATATATATATATATATATATATATATATAAAGAAATTTATTATAAGTAATTGGCTCACATGATTATTGAGGTTGACAAGTTCCAAGATCTGCAGTTAGCAAGCTGGAGACCCAGGACAGCTGGTTCTAGCCTGAGTCCAAAGGCCTGGGAACCAGGAAAGCTGATGGTATAGTTTCAGTCGAATAACTGGCAGGCTCAAGACCCAGGAAGAGCCAGTGCTTTCAGTTCAAGTCCAAAGGCAAGAAAAAAAACAAACCACAAAAGCAATTACCTAGCTCAGAGTAATCAGGCAGAAGGAAATTCCCCCTTTGTTGGTAGGAGGATCAGCTTTTTTGTTCTACATGTATTCAGACCTTCAACTGATTGGGTGGGGCCCACCCACATTAGGGAGGACAATCTGCGTTACTCAGTCTACCAATTCAAATGTTAATCTCATCTAGAATAATGAACATACCCAGAATAATGTTTGTCTAAACATCTGGGCACCCCATGGCCCTGTCAAGTTGAGACATAAAATTAACCATCACAAGTCCACTCCTAGTCAACTTGGCACCCATACACATCTCCTTAAACCATACTTATCTCCAAATAAAGACAGTAACAAGGTCATAATTCTGCCTAACATGATACAACTATCCTGTGTATAACCTGCCAGAAGAAGAGGTAAAGTCCTTGAGTAATGTTTACTTTTCTCCTTGATCTCCCGTAATTTAATGCTATGATGTAAAATTAACAATACTTAGATACCACCATATAAAACCAATACATCTTGTGTTTCATGTTAAGAGAATAAGAGAGGGAAGAAAACAAAGATTTTTACTTAATACACATATATAGACTCACACATACACAAACATGTTCATAAAAATATACAGAGGAAATACTCATGACAACACTGTCCTCGTTTCTCTAACTGGTCACGTGGTCATAGCTGGTATTTATAACTACCTTCTTCCACTGTCCATTCTGTACTTCCCTTGCCTTCAGCAACCATAGCCTCAGCTGGGTGTGGTTCTTTGCCTGGCGGAGTGAACCTAGTTCCGAAGGGCCTGGACCATTAGTAGTCCTGCCTGGATTGAGTTGTTATAGTTTTCCATTGACTCTAATCACAGGTCCTGGCAATACTAAGAAAGCCCTAAGGAATCTCCTGTATTACAGACATACTCTTCTTTACCTCCCTTGTGGAGCAGCAGTCTGATTTACCCTTGGTAACGAGGACCAATCACCCCAGCCAGTACAGAAACTCCCTCTCTGCCTATTCATTCAGAGGCATAAGGAGCCCAAAGGCGCAGTCTTAACCTCCAATCCAATGGAATCGCTGCTATGTCTCCTAGTGGAAGCATTCCTCCCTTTGGAACTAACTGAGACCTGGAGGCCAGCAGAGCATCAGGTCACAGGAACAGGATGCACAACTTTTGCCGGTGGGTCACTAGGGGTACCACTGGTAATAGTGAGGGGTGCTACTCCCATTTTCTGGACCCGTGAATCCTGGCCGTGGGAGAAGCGCCATGTATTGGACTCTGGTTCAGAGCATGTCAGGCTCCTAGAGACCCTTGCCCCAGTCCTGCAGGGTATTACCACCTAGCTGTACTGCAACTGAGTCTGCAAAAGCCAAGTCTACCGTTCTGTCAAGCCAGCTGCCACAGGATGGTGGGGAATATGTGTCAGGTAGCACATATAAGTGTGTTTAACACTCAGAATTTGCCTCTGCAGTGAGGTTACGGCATCACAAGGCAGGAGGCTCCCTGGTCCTGTCTGTGGTTTGGCCAGTCACCATGGAGCTGTCAGCAGAGCTGAGGGAGGTGGCTGTTTCAGTACACCCCGGCCAATGCCCAGCTCAGAGAAGGGAGAGAATGAATGTTACTGAATTAAGTGAATTTCCCATTTGATATATTTTTAAATTAAAAATGGGATATTTCATGCCTTTTTAAAAAAACCTGTCACTGCTCAACCCTAGTTTAACAGTGATCCATACAAGAAAACACTACTTTACCATTTCACTAACCCTCAAGTAATGGCAGCTAGTGTAGAGGGAATGTAGGTTAGCAGGGAATATGCAGGACTAGAGGTTAGGTGTCCCAGGTGCAACCCTGGCCCTGTCTCTTACATTCATGTGACCTTGCGCCAGTTGCTGTCCGTCCCTAAGCTTCAGTGTCCCCATCCATGAAATAATGGAGTTGGTTGGTCCCATTCAAAGCTAAGCTTCCATGAGTTTATAACCTGGTCTTATCTCCGGGTTTGATTAAATGTCTTCTTTCTAGATAACCCAGAATCCTTGTTGAGGGGTGCTGGGTCCTAGGCCGCACAGAGTGACAAGCCCCTCCAGCAATGTGTCCTCATCTTGCTATTCACGACCCCCGTTGCCTGCCCCCCGACCCCCGCCAGGGGGAGACGGTCCCTGAAGTGAGGCTGCTGGGGTTGATTAGAAGGCAGCGTTGGCGGGCAAGCCTTGGGTTCCTCCTCCCGCTGCACCATCGCTTTCCGTTAGCCTGGGTTTCCATAAAAACGAGTGATGTAGGGAAGAAGCAATCAAGCTTCCAGCTTTAGTGCTGTAAAGTTATTCTGTTCTAACTCTATCCTAGATCACCGTTGTATAGAATTGCAAGAGCAGATAGTTTTAAAAAGTGAGAACTAAAGGAGGATGTAGCTATTTCTAGTCAATTCAGTAAACATGACTCAGTTACCTGCCATGCGCCGACCCCTGTGCGGCCATCAGCAGGGGAGCCTAGCGGGGATTCTGCCCTTCAGGCCCTCCATCCAGTGGGGAGCGGGCATAATAAACCATGTCCTAAGTGGGAGCCCTCAGGGAGAGGATTAATTCTTTTTGGTGGGAGGTTTCACAGAATAGGTGATACTGGAACTGGGTCCTGGATTTTTCAAAGTCAAGAATAAAAACAAAGAATTCTATGCTGAGTGAAGGTCACAAGCAAAGGCTCATGTACAGCAAGTAACTGGGGATGGGGAGTTTAGGCGTGGTTTCTGTGGAGGGCTCGCTGAGCCTGGAAGGGGCTTTGGGCTAGATATGGGGGCAGAGGGGTGCAAGGAAGACTAAAGAGCTTGGACTTTTCTCAGCAGAGGCCCAGGGAGTCCCGAAGGCAGAGAGTCAGTGGACTTGCTGACTAAGGACAGATGGACTGGAGGAGATGCTGGGGAGATGGGTGAGAGGTGGAAGGGCTCCCATGGTAGTGAGAGAGATCTTTCCTGAAGATAAGGAAGGGCCCCTGCCCCTCTCCACAACACTTCTGCCATCTTGCAGAATCTTTGCTGTTTTCAGGGTGAAGCACAGACTCCCAGGAGCCCCCAGAGCCTGCTGCCTCTGGCCTTGGGGCTGTTGGAGTTGCCCTGAGCCCCTGGATGGGGGTGAGTTTAGATTAGGCTGTGGCTACAAATTGGCTAGGTGATGACAAGGGTCAGAGCCAGGCAACAGTCCTGGGAGTGGGAAGGGGGCAGATGGAGGAGCCCTCTCAGAACCGGGAGTGGAGCCCCTAAGGACTGCTGGAGCCCCTAAGGACTGCTTGAGCCCCAGCTAGGAGCTCCATTTCACTTCTAAACTGGCAAATGGCCTCACCCCTAATATCAGGGTGTCTGGCCCTAGCAGCAGATCCCCAGGGCCTCTGTACCGTCAGACAGCCAGCTGCCCTGAGCCCTTCTCACCGGTGATTAACAGGAAGGTATGCGTGTGGACACTGGAGGGCTGGAGAAGCCGGTGAGGTGCAGAGAGCTGACTGACTTGCTCAGCGTCACAGCACCAGGGCATGGAGACTCAGATTTCACACAGGCTCCAAAGTGTGGCACCTCCCCCTCTGGCAGGAGGAAGGTACAAGTGCACTTGAATTTCAGAGTAGGGTTGGGCAATCCGAGACCTGTGATCCTCGTAGCATTGTGGCTTCAAATGGACATTTTCAAAGCCCCCTTTCTCTCTAAGTTCAAGAAAAAGAGAAGGGAAATCAGAGCAAGGATAGGAGATAACGGAGACCAGTGGGGGTTTTGTCCCCATCTAACAATTAGCCCTTCACTGAGATGTCTCTGTTACCTGATTTGCAAGTCAGGATGGGAGTTTTGAAAAGATCTAGTGGGGCTCCATCCTTTCTGAGAGCACAAACATTCCAGCTCGAGTTTCACCTGCCCTCAGCTCATGTTCTGAAATCACAGGGAGAGGTCAAAGGTATGCAGACCAGGAGGGGCCTCCGAGCCTCTGGCCGGGAGGGGATGCAGAGACCAGCAGGTGTCCAGCTGTCCAACTTACAGAGCAGAAACTGAGCCCAGAGAGGGGAAGGAACTTGCTGTGGTCACAGGCCCGAGCAGAACCAGCCCAGGCCCACTGCCCTCTCTCTTATACCCTGTACTCCTCCTGTTTTAATTCTGGTTTAACAAGTGCTTATATGGCACTTTTCATGTGCAGACACTGTTCTTGGCACTTTGAAAATATTAATTCATTCTACTGTCATCCTAATCCTATGGTGCAGGCACTGTTATCATGCCCATTTTACAGATGAGAAAACTGAGAGGTGAAGTAACTTGTCCAGGAAACTGAAATGAGGCAGTGGCAGAGCCATGACATTGTTCTAAAAGTTCACGTCTTAGTCACACCGCTATAAGGCTTCACTGGAGTCTTCAGGAAGATAGTTTGAGCCACGGATGTGCTCTGGTTTTGTAGTTGGGGAAGGTGGTGTATGAAAAATTATCCCCTTTTCTTCCTAGAAACAGTCTGAGATGCAGAGGTCCTTATTCAGTCTTGGCTCTGCCCCCAACTTTGGCAAGTG